AAATAAATAACTGGAAATATATTTTGATATAGATATAATTTAAATGCCATTCCTTCTTTTATATTGTAAAGTACAACTGAGTAAATCATCGTTAAAAAGCAGCTTACGTTTTGTTTTATTTCATAACATTCAATAATTTTTTTTTTTTATTTCTTATTGTTCATATACATTTTAGTTTATTAGGAACCGCCCACTCATTTCTATTTTTGTACCGCTAAACAAAGGGTGTTGTCTATAATAAACGAGCGCTTTTGAATCTGAAACATTGTTACATGAAACATGGAAGGTACAACTATTGAAATTGCTTTAAACGTGGGCTCAGTATTTCTAAAACAAGGTACAAAAGTATTTATAATTTACTTGAAAACTTTTTTTTTTTTTTTTTTTTTTTTTTTTTTTTTATTTCAATGGAATTTACAACTGTATTACATAGAGAATACAATAAGTAAATGAGAAAATTGTAACATGGCATGTACAACATGAAGAGAAACTACCCATTGGTAGAACTCAAATTAAAGTTCTATATTAGAAGATCCCGAGGCCATCTTCTTTTCAGACGCCTCGGAGGGTTATCAGGGATCGAGGAGGAAGCAAGGTTTGAAACGAGAGGATTCGGATGATTCTGCAGTTTGTTATTCTTGAAAACTTTAATAAATAAATTTTATATCGAGGCTTAAAAAAAAAAAAATGTTAGCAAATTTTTTCTATGGCACAATGATAATTATGAGCGAATATTCTTTATCCCGGATGCCCTAGAAACTATAGAGAAATAGTTAAAAAAATGATAGTTGACCTGAAAAAAACAGTTTATATATACCTGTTAATTTAACGAACTTAAAGCTTTATATAAGCTTCTTGTTAAATGAAAGGAAACTTTTAAAAATAAATCACAAATATTCCGCGATTTTATGAAACACAGCACTTAGTGTAATTTATCAACTTAAAAACCTCCTTTTAATGGTTTTAACAAAGATCAACTCTATTCACCTTTGAACATAATTTCGTCTAGTTTAATATGCTGCAATTGATAATCACCTAAAAAGAAATAATTTTTAAGCTATATTTTCCTCTTTAATAAAAACCTGACTCTTAAAAACACATAAAATAATTTTTTTTATTCTAAGACTTACTGGTGTAAATTATATGGGGAGGAGGACAAAGTATTCCCGAAACGTACAAAAAAAAAAGTAATAAAGAATAACAGTATAAATTCAGAATGGCTGTTTATTAAATTTGACCTATGAATAATAAATGAAGAAAGATTTGTAATACAATTTTACTAATCTTCATAGTTTACAACGGCTTGTATTTTATATCGTTGCTATTACTTCATTATGTAAGTCCATAATTGTTGTTGTTAATAATATTGAAAAAATATAATAATAACAAAAACACTCATTGATGACAATAGTCCTACTTTATTATTTTTCATTTCTCTATTCCAACGTTTCAGCCTTAGGCCATTATCAACGGAAGAAATGTTTATCCAACAAAGCATTCATCATCCAATCTCTAAATTATCTAATCTCATGATAATGCCCTAAGGGTTGAAACATAGGTGTAGGGGAAATAAAAAAAAAAAGTAAGACTGATGCGATCATTGAGTGTTTTTATTACTACTAATAAAGTGACGTCCAAACTAAATAGTTTAATATATATAAAAATCAAAATAAATATTTTGAGAATAGAAATATAGTCGGTGTCAATAAAACAATTGTCAGAAAATCTACAATCTTCAAAGCATTGCTGTAAAGAAAACGAATAATAAACACAATTACATGATTAAACTTGAAAGCAATGAGCCGATGAGACACCAGCTGACATATTGACAAGTAGTTGATCTCCCCCTCCCCCTCTCGCTCACTCAACAGGTGGGAGCGCTAAACCCCTAAGCTCCTCTTCCCCAAATGGCGACCACAAGTCACAGCCTTAACCTCTCCAGCTAGCGTCACCTCCTAATTGCCAGAACTAGGGTTTCCTCGTCTTGGAGGGGGCACTCAGGCGAGTCTTTGATCTGAGTGGAGGATCGGGAATTAACCTCTTAGGCGTCTTCTAGCTAAGTAACCGCGGTCTTGGAACATGTCTCTTTTTCCTTCAGGGAACTTCTGACGGTTCTAACCAACTTCGGAAATTTTTAAAAGTTTTTTTTCTTTATAAAGGTTAAATCTATATCTTATAGAGGGTTTATTGCCAAAAGTCACTAATAAGTGAAAGTAACAGTCAGTTTGTCACCAATTTCAATCAAAAGTTTTGTTGGTGATTCTACATAGAAAGATATTGGACACGTATTCCGATATTCTTTTCAACGGTTCTTGATAACCGAGAAAAAGATAATTCTATATACTTTTTTAAAAATACATTATTTCTTTTACCTTGAGTTTGCCCAGATTTCTAAGTTATTATATACCAATCGATTTCTTTTTGGGTGAAGAATAAGAAAAAAATATTGTCTCTAATATCAAAAAAGTTATAATGTATTATAAATTACAGAAACCAAAAGACGGTTTCAGTAATTGAGGCCAAGTATTTTTTCCTATAAAAAAGCAAATCACATTCTTTTTAACTCTTAAAATGAATTTTTAATGAATTGAAAAAAATTCAAACCTTATTAATTGACTTCCTTGAAAGATTTTTTTTTCTTTTGTTTTTTGCCATCAAAAAAAGCATCCGCAATTCCTCTGGAGATTCTCTAATTTCAACGTTAATACAACCGTTGAAAAATTAAATTATTGTTCTTCCCACCAATATCAGTAACTTTTAGATTTTATCCCTTTTTTAAAGTAAAAATAATGGAAATAATAAAGGATAGGAATACAACTACATGATTTTATAACTGGCTATATGGAACATTCCAATACCAAAAGAAAATAAATACATAAAGTTAATTACATGTATGTATAACATATAGTGTTGCCCAAATGCGAGACCTAGACGAGTCTTGGTCTTGCAAACTCAGTCTTGGTCATGGTCTTGGTCTTGCGCAAAACTCTCGCAACAGTCTTGCAGTTACTTATGAGCTGATTACTACAAAGATATTACTGTAATTTTTTAGATAGAAGCCTAAAAAGCCCGGATGAAAAATTAGAGGAGTTATGTGCAAAGGTATATTGGTTATACCAATTATTATCATATAGTAACTAAGATTGTCAAGTATTAGTAACTATTTTGCCTTAATTTTTATTCAAAAAATCGATTTCTTTGACCCGTCCTGGTCTTGGTCTTGCAACAGTTAGGCGGCCTTCGTCTTGGTCTTGCAAATCCAAGACCGAGACCGATTTTGGGCAACACTAATAACATAATTGTTGTTTCTTATGTATTTCCGTACTGCTCCCTTTGTATTGGGTTTATAAGTAAAATAAATATTAGGTGTTACAGTTATTTTCAGCCGTGATTGGTTATCCGTCCCACTGTGCGACGTTTCGACCCAAGGATGTGGGTAATCAGCAGGGCAATGGTTTCTGGCTAACATAGCCTATACGAAAAGATGACAATGTCAGACAATAGAGGCCGTTTAAGCTATTCTGCTGTAATTATACCATTTCCACAAAACATCAACCTCCATAACAAATATATTTCGACTGAAAATTATAATTCTTTACTATCTAATCTATTCTATCTACATTCAAAATAGTGAAAAAAAATTCATTTCTTAAGAATATTATTTTAATTATAAATACAAACTTGAATAAATTAATATAAACTATGGCAATGTGCACTGTTATCATTCTGGTTTATGTAGCTAAGAATAAAATTATATTTCTGTACATTGTCTTTGGGAATTTCATTTAGATTGTATGCCTTGGTTTATTTCTCATCCAATAAGATACAAGTAGACATAAATATCTTCACAAATTCAAATTCTAATCACTAAATTAAAAAAAACTAAACTATGAGAAATGGTGGAAAAGGAGTAAGTTGTGACTGAATAGTTCAATTGAATAGAGTCACATTGGAAAAAGAAAAGGATATAAAGAACCTCGATGTTCTCATATATGAACATCGATGGATTGACAGAGAAATGAAAGGAGTGAAGACTGCAGGAAGGAGTTTAATGTCATCAAAGGATTCCTGAACGAGCGAGCACTGAGCGATGAGACCAATCAGATTCAGATCATAGAGAAGCGATTCCTGCAAAGGTTAGAAGCAGAATCAAAGGGTAAGACCAGCTGAGACTTTGGCAGAACATGGTTTGAGGTGGTTTGGTTATGCCTCTCGATTAGCAAAGAATCGGGTATCCAGGATTGCCTTAGAAAGTAACGTTGATAAAAGAAGACCTCAGGGAAGGCCCCGGAATTCTTAGGAGGACGGTGTCAAGGAGGCTTGTAATAGAAGAGATGTGGACTGGAGGAGGCGACAATGTACACATCGGGAGCTGTGAATTTGGACTTACAAGAAGGCGTCTCACACTGCTTCGTTGTAAAAGAGAAAACAATTGAGAAAATAAGAAGCATTAAATTTTCTATATGTTTTACAAGTATTATGTAATAGAATTGGAAACAGCTGCTAAGATACGGGGTAGTTAAAATCTGTAAAATGTATAAAGAAAAAAGTGATTTCGCCCTAAGAATAGATTAGTGAATTTTAATGAAAAAATCAGAGTAACTAATCATGTTGAGGATCAAATTTTCTACAAGATTCATACAAAATCCCTAGAAATATTGAAAAATCAATTTTAAAAAATTGATAAAGCTAAGCACGCCTGAGGAAGTATTGATAAGTAGATAGATAAAATATTAAGAAAAAAAAGCGGAAAACTATCATGAGTTACGTAATCTAGATGAAATTTATTCTTATGAAGAAATCGTTATAATGTATTGGGTCATGCGAGAGACAAGGGTTACAATTCTCATTAAAACTATTTTATTTTTTCAAGAACTAAAACACTTTTCCCTTATGTTTTGTAGTTCATCAGAAAGTTATAAAAAATAATTTTATTTAAGAACAATACTCTCCATAATGTAACAGAAAGCGTATAAACGGATAGATTGTAAATCGTTATTCTATAGCTGGCAAGGTGAATCGCACAGCGTGAAGTCATCGACTGATCTAAACTCAGCGACCCAGAGCTGGGAATAGCCAGAAGTTATATCGACACTAACTGCCTATAAACAACTCTCAACAATCGATTTGACTTATCGACTATTAGTGAGGTTAAACAGAGGGACTCGCAACACCGTTTTATTGTCCAAGGTCGAGTGAGCCCCGCTCGGGTAGTGCTCGATTTATGAGTACTGCGCATTGTGCAGTTTTCATTCTCTGGAATCTCATGTTTGTTTTTTGTATTTTTTAAAATAATTTTATTTTAAACCAGGTCCAAACTTATTTGAGGAACTTTTAACTTGGTGCTTTTACAATTTGAAGTTATTGAGAATAAATCGATGTTTAAAAAATCTAACAATAACATCTGTTGTACCCACCACTACACTCGATAAAAAATTTTCATATGCTTGACCAAGCTTCCCAGCATATATTTTTTGAACATAAAAGGACTTTATAACAAAACTCCAAATAAGTTCTATTTTTTAATCTTGTATAGTGTTTCTATTTTTACTTAAATCTAAAATTGTTTATTTATATCTGTGTTTAATATTAGATACGGAATACGTACAACCAAAAATGGTTTGAATCTTGGCTGAACTATATCCGTGATCGCATATACTGATGATTGGTATTGTTCAGTGAAGAGACAATGAAATTATAAAAATAAAAAGGATAACGTTGATGAAAACCGGTAAATAATCGGTACTCGGAATAAATACGAACGAGAAAAAGTCTTTTTAGATGAACCATCTAACAAACGAACGTAACACACAACCCCGAATTCCACCTCAGTAAATATTTTTGAGGTGATTACACTGCGGCAAATAAATGGGCTTCTAAAATCGTTGGGTTTGCTAACGAAAAAAAGTTCTAAAAGGTTAATATGCGCTGTGCCGACTGGTTAGCGTTCGTGATCTCACTAAGCGAACCCATGGTGTTGGGCTGAGGTTGGATTTAGTCAGCGGAAATATTTGGATGTAACGGCATGGAATCTTCGGATTAGCTGAGCCTTTATTATTATCTACCTTTATGCATAATGAAAATAAATAAATATAATTATTTATTTTTACTATTTTTTACTTTGAGTAATCATCCCAACAGTCCTTCTCTTCAATTATTCACTACACTCAACCATCAACCCACAACAATAAATGATTATCTGTTTATTGTAGCTATGGATGTTCATGATACATCAAGTAAATTTACTGTACTTGAACTATTTATTTTTGCATTTAAATTTACTTTTATTTTCGTTACATTGCATATTTTCATCCATATTTATTTTGAGTTGAAGTTAACTCTATTTGTAGGGTGAGAGAGCACCACTCGGGAGTTAGGGTAACAGACTACTCTCAAGTGGTCTGGTGTTGGATAAGGACCTACTGATCCAATTACAGATAAGTCTCCTCCACACTATTACCAGTACCAGTAAACTAACAATCTCTGTTTGAAAGATATACTTCAAATCTGACAGTTATGTATAAAGTGGTTATTTAGTGGTGAAAGTTTTACCATAAAAACTGAATATTACTGTTTTTATATTAAGTAATGTTTATAAAATATACATTAATAGAAATCTGAGGTGCGTAAAGTTATGGTTTCATAGAGGAACTATAATCCATAAATATCGAATGAATTAATCACAATTTGAAATATTTCTGCTACCGCCCTCAGAGTTTTGACAAGGGTCATTCGTTAATTTGTGAAGAGCATGGAAAATGGGCAAACAAATTGATTTACAGCTTGCCCAAATGGATATGCTTGATTCAGTTATTTATTATGTACGTGTGAGTAGTGAAGTTGAAATGATGTTAGAGAGTTGTATATTCTCCTGTCGCCTCTTCGTAGTTGAACCCTCATTCCCAACCTAACCTAATATATTAGTCTGTTATAATTTGAATAAATAGTCCGAATTTAATGAATATGGGTTGAAAAATTAATTTTTTTTAAATTTGGTGTAGTGTGCACATCGCACAAACATTCACTTACCATCCTCCTTCCAAGCTAAATCAATTTTAGAAAAATGTATTGGATTTAAAATATTACTTTAAATATTAATATAAGTATACAACAATTTATATAAAATAAAACGACACTACTTTATTTTTAGTATGCGTAGTATATTTTATTAAAAATTTATTTTTTGTTCAATCATATAGAGATAGAAATTATTAACTTCATATATTATTAGACTTAACTGTTTCGTCTCCCTTCGTTACCTTCTACTAATTTATATCTTGTATATTTACAATTCTGATATATACAAATAATAAATAAGAAGTGATAAATATTCAGGACGCAGTCATTATAAACATTTTTATTTGTGCCAACGTTTCAACCCAAACATGTTGGTCATCATCAGAGCGTGGTTCGAGCACTGAAGGCTTTCAAGTACTGACTAAATGTACTGGATATTTATCACCCATAATGTGTACAACAGTCGACTAGCTTCCTTCAATAATTCAATCAATAAGGAGGCGATACAGAGATCAATATTACGATAAGTAATAACTTACTAACTTTCAGTGTTTTAAAAACTTTATTTCGCTCTCACCGAAGGGTTAGCTATGTTTTCCATTACAGTGACTACGATGGAAATTTTTTTTTTTTAAATTTTGAAGTTTGTATGAAATACATTTTTCCAATTAACGATGCAATAAATGAGGAAATCTATGAAATTTTCTAATATTCGGAGGTGATTTTTAGTGTCAAAGAGTAGTATATTTAGGAGATAAGTTACAAAACAGATTTGCACACTTGTTCCATCAAAAAATCGGTGATCATTATTAGGATCATGTTTTTTTCTTAGGATAAACTAACGTGGATAAATTCATTGTTCTAAATGTTATTACCCATATGTTACTTCATCTTATAGAATAAATCTTAGAGAATACGAATGTAAGGAAATAGTAGTCTCATTGTATAAAATCTTAATAAATTTACTCAATTCTTCTCTTTACCCATAGAATTAAATAAATAATCTCTTACCCGGGATAAATAAAAGATTCGTGATTCGCCCTGATAGTACTCTGAAAAATCTTGGTTTTATGAACCTACTGAATTCCTTAAGACTTCTTACCTTTACAAAATACAACTTTATTTTTATATTTATTATTTGTATATATATTGTATATATTTATACAACTTTTATTTCTTTACAACTCTGGGTGTAAGATCTAACAGACTTGAGGTAGATTGAAAAATAAATTAAATGTTTCAAGTGCAAGCGACACAGGTGACCAATTGTTGAGAACTAAATACTGGAGAGGAATTAGCTCAAACGTGTAGTCGAGGTAATTAGTTGTAATGACTGGACCGGTGCCCAGCTGAGCAATGCCTCTAACCCAAGGCGTCCGATGGTTTAATCCATAGCCTTCCAACTTCAGCTCAGAAACATGTACTATCGATAGATAAGGCATTTGGAATATTAACGCAAACGCTAAAACAACTTCTAAATACAACCAGTTTTTTGTCTTTGTTTTTTCTGTCTTCATACTTCTATCCACACCTGCCAGTAAAATTAATTCTTAGAAACTACGTCAATACAACTTTGAATTATACCGGTAGTTAAAAAATAGAATTTAACAGAGAATAATAAAATTAAGATAACATTCGCGGGTTTGAATAAAAATGCTTACCATAATTTTGGGTCTGATTTCACTTTAGCATAATCCCTCTGTCTTAATGAGTGAGTGGATCTGATATTTTAAGAGATTTCTGTTTCTGCTATTTTTCTGAGATTTTAACAACTCTGAAGCAGGGGTCTCCAAACTACGGCCCGCAAGTATATACAGTCCGGCCCCCGGTTTCTTTCATTACATGGTAAAATTTTAAAAACTATTTAAATTTTTAAAAAAATATAGTGCGTCCCGCCCATCACACAACTCTCATTTGCCACTGTCTTCTTAGCAGAAATAAGTATTTTCAGACAAAGTAGAAGTGAAACGCAATATACTATGCGATATACGCAATACTACCTGTACCCAAAAAAAAAACCTGTACCCACTAACAACCCATCAATTCAGTACACTATGAGAAAGTACTGTTACAAGGCCAACGGTTGTGCAGGGAATTGGGAAATCATGCTCAACCGCCAAGTTTTCCCCCTTAATTAATTATTTAATTGAGAGTACCCACCTTTATTGAGGCTAGGCGTGCCCCAGGTGGCTCTCCTGCGCCCAGGGTCGATCCAAGGCTGATTAAAAATTACTAGTCATGAGCCTTTTTCGAAGCGGGGACCTTCAGCTCTGGAAGTCAGTGCTCTCCAACTGAAGTACCCCACTCTCATAAAAGAACAATACTACTGTTCTATAGATAGTTAAATAACCTATACTAAATAAGATTCTAATTAAAAGTTTAAAAATCAAGCTTCTAAATTTTTATTTCTGTTTTGTTTTCCCAATTTTCGACGAAATCTTTACCATAAAACTGGAGGACTTAACAGTTCGGGGGAGGGGGAAGGAATATTACATTAATTTAAACCCTGCATCATTTCTGTGTTTTCGACTCATAAAAACAACTTTTTGCTTTATAGAAAACTAACTTCTAGTTTCATAGGGAAGTTATTTCAAATTGGGGAACGCCATTAGTTTTTGCCTACACCATCACTGAAATTATTCTAGTTTTGGAGTTATGCTGTAAAGTTCCTCCCATTACCCTGTAAGTTCATTACACTAAGTGCCGTCTGTACTGAGGATGAACAACGCTCATATCAGTACAAGGTTGTTACTTGTAAGCTTGAAAACCTCGCCATTAATTCAGTGCAGCAATTCGGTTTCCTCTCAGTTAAACATGACATAACTATGAAACAATTTGAACGCTAAAGGGTTATTTCACAAAAACGTTCAAAGTGACGATGAAAATTGCTCAGCCTTCGATTATAATGACAATACATTATTAATTTAATTCATTACATATACATACTTACATGAACCCTTATACGAAAACCTCCATACAACCACCCATGTACGACCCACCTCCAAAAACTTGAAACATTCCAATCAAAATTATTGCGACTTATAACAAAAGCACCTTGGTACGTGACAAAAAAAAACTCTACATACTTACCTCCACCTTCCAACATCTATTTATTTAAAACTCTGCGGTGCCTAGTAGGCAATACGGGTGTCTGCAATAGTAAGATGTTAGGCAGGTCAGCTTAACACCTCACTACTGCAAGTAATCTTTATCTTATTCTCTTTCTTGATTTATTCGGTTTTCTGGAGTGTATTTCTTATATTTTTCATATCAATGGTCTAGTAACTCCTCCTCCTCTTCTTAGATTGAAATGGCCACCTTCTAACAGGTGACCAACATATGACGATGTTATACTAATTTAAAAGGTCATAAATACATGATTAACATGAGACATGGTCACTGCTGACATACCCCAGAAGATTAAGAGAAGACCAAAAAGGCGTTGGGTGAGAGATCTCCTTCCTTAAACAACCTTTGAACTGAATTGAAAATTGAAACAAGTCAGAGAAGAGTTACTGTTGAGTTCTGTCCTTCCCATGGTTGATATGTCATTATATCTTGTATTTCTAGAAAATCTGCGAAATGCTAACAAATAAATTGACAGGCGCAAATAATGTTTTATAGCCAAAAAAAGATCATTAAAATCTTATTTTATTTATTAAATTTTAAGGAGCGTTGTTTTAAAATATTAGATTTTGAGGTTTCTTTAAATTAACTCCCGCTAAACTCATTCCATCAACAACCCCTTAATCGACGTTGGGAAATGAAACAGGCTTGTTGATGTAAGATGCAGGACTCCGTGCGACAATTATATAAAATACTCTCTTTACAAGGGTTCTGTTAGCTTTTAATTTTCTTCTCTTTGTGAAGTCTTTATCTTTTCCTTAATTTCGATTTTATTCTTGAAGCTTATTGGCTTACTTGTGTATAGAAAAACTTACTTGTGTCATAAAAGCGTAATAAATTTAATTTTTTTTTTCTTCATATCTTCATCTGCACCTGTCATAAGAGTGACAATCAGCAGATTTGATGCGGATGTAGATGCTAATGGCATGACAGGCTTGAGAAAGGATAGCAGAAGAGGAAACTCTTCTGGTCTTTATTTTCTTTCGTAAATCAGGGAAGGCGATCTCTCATCCAGCATCGCTTCAGTCTCTTCCTCATGGGCATGTCGTAATGAAATCGTGAGTAAAGAGTTCTTATGTGTTGGTCGATAGTCGGTTGACATAAGTCGTTAGGTAAAGTTTTGTTGTTAACGTACCAAGAAACTGCTGTTAAAATTTTGGACTGAAAGGATTGTAGTTTTTGTTAGTGAGTCTTTTTTGCTGAACCGTATATCTGTGAGCCGTGTATCCAAATGGGTTTAAGTTGGTATGTGTATGTATTTAGTTTTTATCTGGTTTGCAATTTTGGTTTAGAAAAGAGAAAGTATAGTATTTCAGTCGTATGTTTAAAGTCTTCCGTTTCGTTTTGGCATGTTGGTTCCAGGTCATTCTTCTGTAGAATATTAGTCCGAGATAGTGTACTGTGTTCTCCTGAGAAATTTGGTTATTGCTGCTATAAACTGGTGGGCATATGTCTCATCGAAGTATAAATGTTATGTGTTGTGATTTGTCACGGTTTAATCTTATTTTCTAAAGTAAGTATTAGCTCTGAAAATTTAATAAGTGATTTTTTAAGTTCAGTGAGGCTTGTCTAGGGTATAATTATTTTAATTATTAGAATTATAAAAGTTTTACTATATTATTATTATTTTATTTTTTTGTCAACTTCAATGATATTGCACAAATAAAGCTATGTGGAACGGCTTGCAGGCGATAGCATGTTATTACTGAAATCTCTAGATTATTGGCGTGAAAAGGTGTTTTAAAGTGTTTGTTTTTGTAAAATTGCAGCATGAAACTAGTCTAATACTCCTTAGACTGAGTACTCCGTCGATAAAGTATAAACTAAGACAAAAACTACAATAAATTTCTAACTTATTTTTTGAAATATGTGACATTACTATTATAACTTCAATTTAAACTTTACTAAAACTAGTATATGTAGGAAAGTAAAAAAAACGGATTAGCCACACACATATTGGGATTTTAAGTCGTAGAAATACCTGGAGTGTTTTTGGGGGAGAGGGGAGAGTGAGAAGGAAAATAAAATAGTTTTTCTGTTGAAATTTTCATTTGTGTTTGATGAGCTGAAAGGATAAACCGAAATTCTTAGGAGCAAACTTGAGTATATATCATAATCGCGAACAGCTATTTTTAGTTTTCAATTTATTTTTTATTATTGTTTATTTTTCAAGATCTCAAGTATTACTTGAATCAGAAGTGCCTAGAAAAGGGTAGAATGTAGCGGCATCAAAATTTTTGATTGAGAGGGAATATTTTTATGGGTTTATGAATTATTAAGAGGAGGTATTTAAATATGTGCCCTATTAATATAACGGAGTAATAATTTTTGGAGAGTACCATATTGTTCTGAGGATTCAATCTGGAAGAATTATCAAATCTGAAAATAGAACAAAAACATAATTTTTATAATTTAACTTTCAACAATTTTTAAGAAGCAGAGACCAGTAAAATTTCTTGGATGAAAGAAATGCGCCATCGCCCTTGGGGTGGTGGATCCCTCCAGCTTGAATTTGTTAATTGTGGCTCATGTTTTTTTCATTAAAATAGAAATACTAGCATCGGTGTGGATTTTCGTAATTTTTACGTTTCGCAAGAGGTTTCAACTCCATGTTTTTCCGAAAAGAGATTCTGTACAATGAGAGTTTATTAATTTGTTTATTTGACATTTATTTTGATCATAGCTAATAAACATGTATTTCTATTATTTATTATTACTTTTAGAGTTGGATTAAAATTCGTCTAAAACATAATAATTCGTACGAGTATTTTTTTACTTCACTACTGCATATCATTTTTCAATAAAAACATATGATTTTTTTTCGCTGCTTAAGATACTTATGAATAACTAACATTACGTACTTATAACCTCATTTTCAAATAAATTAATAAATAAGCAAATGTTTTTTCACCAATAGAAAATGAAACTGACAACGTCGAACGTATTTATTTGAAATTCACTCTGGAATGCAGCAGATAATTGCAAAAGAAAAATTTTTATGTTAGTACCTAAACACGTCAGAATTTACACCTAAAAACAAAAAGCATGTTTTAATTAATAAGTGATTTGCGTTGGCGAAGTAAAAAAGATCCATTCATGCTCCATTAAAACAACTTTAGACAAATATTTTGAAGATAAATTATAATGTATATCATAAATATAAAATATATATGTATAATTACTTATATTGCTTTTTAATTGTGTATATATCCTAATCACTCTTCCATAAACAGATCATTTCCACCATCATTAATACGAATATGGGATAGTCTACTTTATACCAAAATAACTAATATTAGTGTATTCCTGTTATGAA